CCTTTGCCACCCTGGACGACCTCATCAACCACTGGGCAGATGAGGGCAATGGACAGTACCTGTATGGGTCCCCAGGGGGGCTGGTCCTGAATCTGCAGCGGTCCACCCACCATCATGGGCAATGGACCAAGCATCATCGAGAAGTTGAAATTCCCACGAGACTCAACATCCCCTTCTCTGAGGATGGCATCAATGTGCACTATGCCTCCTACCAGATCGTGGCTATGGTTTTGCACCAGGGAGAAGGCCATGAGAATGGTCATTACCAAAGCATCTTGGCCATAGACAATGCCTACTGGCTGGGGGACGATGAAACCTACCCCACTCCGATTTCCTTCATCTCGCCTCAACAGATGAAGGAGATCTCTCAGGTCTGGCTGGTCCTCTCCAGTCCGGCGGAACTGGTCCCTGACACGGCCATTGAGATTGCGGAGACTTTGGCCAAGAAGCCCAAGAAGGCGCAAGAGGTTTTGCAGTTGCTCTTCGGCAATGTCACCTTCTTTGGCAAGAAAGTACAGGACTGGATTTGGACAAAGGCTGACACCATCTTGATGCTTCAAGAAACACACCTGCAGACAGCTAGTCTCGATAACACCATGCAGTACTTCTCCACCAGAGGATGGAAATGTCATGGAGTGGCAGCCGAGCCCACGGGCAATGGAGGCTCAACCGGGGGTTTCATCACTCTTCATCCTGCCCGACACCTCATCCATCACATCCACGACTACACCAAGCAGGGCAATGGATGGACAGCCTTATGTATGGAGCGTCAAGGCCAAAACATCTATCTCGTCCAGCTCTACCTCAGAACTGGCGAAACCCTGCAGTCAACGCTGAATGCAGACATCCTCGGACAGTTGCTTCACTTCTTGGACCATCTCCAAGCACCCTTCATTGTCGGCGGCGACTGGCAAACTTCCCCGGAGGAGCTGGCGGCAACCAACATCCCCAGCAAGATGAGAGCGCAGATTGTGGCCACCACAGGGCCCACGACACTTCAGGGCAGCCATCTCGACTTCTGCCTTGTTTCCACCTCTCTGGCCAGTTTCGTCACCATGGAAGCGGATTGGGAAGTTCCTTGGAAGCCGCACTGTGCTCTCTCTCTCTGCAGCTGAATTGCTCCACTGGGGCCGTGCCAGTTCAGCAACTTCAGCGGTTCCCACCCATCGCAAGGGTCTACCAACTTCCGAACAACTGGACCTCTTACAACGAAGATGATGGCCCTTTTGAGATCATTGGGCAGACCATCACTGGGTTGGGTTCAGACTTTGCCAGGTGGGCCACACAGACTGAAAAGTACCTGTGTCAGACCTTGCAGAAGCCAACAACGGGCCGAGGATCAAACATCAGGCTCTTCCAAGCTCCCTTGATTGACTCCTCCAAACCACAGGTCTGGAAGAAAGGCAGCGCTGCCTACTGGGAGAGGATGGGAGTCAGGATCAACGTGGCTCAGCACAAGAGACACCCCAGCGTCCTGCATGATCTGCGACAGATGCTGGAGAGGCTTGCTCACCATGCCTCGAAACAATTGGATCAGCCACACTTTGTTGAGAGACTCACCCAGTGGACCTTTGGAGCGGCCATTGATCCTGCCGAGCTGCAAGCCACAGTCCATCAGGAACAGGAGAGAGCTCAACAGCAACTTCTTAGTGCCACCAACCACGAGTTCAGAGAATGGCTGGAAAAGGCTCATGACAAGGGCCTCAGGGGCCTCTTCAGAAGTCTACGTCAAAAAGACCATTGCTGGAAACGACCTTTCCAGGACATTCCACACACACAGAGGATTCCAGCTCGAGAACAGCAATGGGGAGAGATCTGGAAACCGCTTCCGGCCCCATGCCACATTAGAGGCATTCAGGAGTTGCGACGGATTGCACAAGCGGCAGCTGCTCAACTACCTCCAGTTGACACGGCTCTCCTGGGCAAACTCATGAGGAAGCTCCCCAACAAGGCAGCCGGACCGGATGGCATCTCTTACGATTTCCTACGGCATCTCCCCTACCCGGCTGTTTCCAGGTTGGCCTCTTTACTCACCGAGATGGAGCGCTCGGCTGAACTTCCCATCCAGCTTCGACACACCAACATTGTCATGATCCCAAAGAATGAGCGCATCGAGCGGCCCATTGCCCTTATATCTTGCCTTTACCGGCTGTGGAACTCTTACCGGAAGCATGAGCTCCATCGCTGGCAGCTGTCTTTGGACCAGGATATGCCATGGGACTTTGCACGCCCTCACAAAGACTGCCTTTCCATCGCGGTCGGACGAATGTTGAAGGCTGAGATTGGCAAGCACCAACACTGTGACCTGTTTGGCAGACCTCACCTGCTTTTACGACACAGTGCAGCTTGACCACCTCATTGAACCAGCCGAAGAACTCCATTATCCACCGCTGCACTTGAAGCTAGCGCTTGACCTTTACACTGGCCCGAGGCTCATCCAGGCAGAAGGCATTGCAGGCAATCCCACCTACTACGAGAAAGGCATCCTTCAAGGTTGTCCTCAAGCTCCGGCAATAGCCAAATTGGTCCTCTTCCGACCTCTCCGAGATTTGGTCCAAACTCACCCCGCCGTTCAGCTGCAGACTTGGGTGGACGATGTCTCCTATGACATCAAAGGCAGGGATCCTGACTATGTTGCCCGTGAAGCCATCCTGGCTTTCCGCACCCTGAAGCAACGCCTTGAGCAGGCTGGACTCAAGATCAACTCTGACAAAACCGGGTTCCTCACCAGCAGCAAGGAGGCCGCAAAAGCCCTGGACATCAACCTGCAACCAGGGGATCCTCAGCACCACAATGTTCTTCGAGACCTTGGCATTGACGCCACAAACTCCAAGAGGAGAAGGGTCGCACAAATCAAGAAGCGATACCTCAAGGGCAGAGGCAGGGCTGGGATCATGATGCGCCTCAAGCTCAATCCCAGCATCAAATACAGGCTGCATCGAGGAGCCATTCATCCAGTGATGACCTGGGGCGCTCAGGCCAATGGGCTGGCCCCTCAAAGAAGACAACAAATCCGTGTCATGGCTGCCCGGGGTCTTCGCCTCCAGCGGTCTGGTTCTGTTGATGTTGTCTTCGACATGCATCCCAACAAACCAGACCCGGGCGACTCAATCATCCTTCAGCACATCCACACGGTCTGGAAGATTTTCCATGCCTTTGACGACAGTGCCCAGCACCTCTTTTGGATCAGCTGGAATTCAGCTTTGGACATTCTCCTCAAAGCCAAATACAGGTGGCAAGTTGTGACTGGTCCTCTCCAAGCCCTACAAGCCTACCTCCTCGACTATGATTTCGACATCTCAAATGGCAAATTGTGGAAGAGAACCGGCTATGGAGGCATTCCTGACTGTCATCTTTGCTTGACGGATGGTTGGCCTGAGATCCATCAGAAGCTCCAAGAGGAATTTCGCTGGCAACGACTCCTCCGACTGACAAGGCATGTGGGTTGCCACGATTTGGAACGTCCTTTGGATTGGACGGTCAGCAATACGCTCCAGAAGATTTCCACGGAGCGCTTCAACTCTGCCTTGAGAGCCTTCCATCAAGGCACTTTCCATGGCCAGTCCGGCAAGTGTCCACTGTGCGGTGTTGAGCTCACTTTCATCCACCTTCTGTGGGAGTGCACCTTTTGGGATGGCAAGGTCCCTGCCCTCCCGGACCAGTGGCGGGAGCGTCTTCAAGCAGGCACAGAACCGGAGCTGTGGAACCGAGGCATGACTCAGTCTATCTTCTACATCAAAGATGGGGGCATGGCGTGCCATCTCCCTCCTGGGCATGCTGTCTCTCTAGCCGTTGCACCCACTTGCAGAGACCCACGGCACAAGAGATTTGCCTTTGCGATTTGCATCCACCACATCCAGACCAAAGAGAGAGTTGGTTCCTTAACCGGCATTTGTCCAGGGGAAGCCACCCGTCTTCGAGCCCTCTTCTATGGTTTGAAGCACATGTCTCTTCATTTGAGGGACAAGGCTCATGTGGCAGTTTTCAGTCAGGCCATCTGGGACGCTTGGAATCCATGGACGGCATATGCCAAATTCCCTGATCTCACTCAAGGGCTGGAGCATGAGGACTTTGCTCAGATCAGGTTGCTCCTTTTCCAGACCAAGGAAATGCACTCCAGCCCAAATCGACTGGCCTTCCAGCAAGACACACAGGCAAAGGCCACCCAGGCAGCTCTCCTTGCCAGGCCAGAGGAGACCCTCGATCTCCAACGCCACATCGACGAAGACACCAGAGACATCCTTCACGTGGCAGCAAGACGAATTGAGTTTCTCCTCAAAGACAAAGCTCACTTCATTCACAAGAGAGAGGAGATTCCTGACAGTCAGAAAATACCCCTTGCTACTCAGAAGAAGCAGCTGCTGGAGCAATTCCTGTCTCAACCCAGTGCCTTGGGACATCAATGGATAGCTTACAGATCGGGAGTGCAATGCACCCAGTGCAAGCAGCGATTTCATTCAAAGTCCATGGTCAATGAGATCAAGGAAGGCCTCGCACAAGCTTGCACGCATGCTGTGCCAGGTCGAACTTCCAAGAAGACCCGCTTTGAGGTCATACACGATCTCTTGGACGCCCAAGGCGTGGCAGTTGAAGGCACACACCATCTACGGCTTGACAAAGCGTACCTCAGGTGCGACCGTTGCAAAGGGTACGTGTTGGCTAGAGCAGGTGAGGAAATCTTCCACCGCTTCCTGGGAGAGGTCTGCCATCATGGACCTCTCGAGGCCAGCAAATGGTTCGGGCACCCTACACACGAGATGCTCCGCACTGGCAACAGCTTGGAGTGCAACCTGTGCCACCTCCGCACACGCATCCAAGGCGAGGAGATCAACCTGACTCAGAAGCTCCGCAGCCCGTGTTCCAGGCCGCGATCAATCGACATCAGAACTTGGCTGGCATGAGACCAGCGATGACCTTCCACTGCGGAAAAGAGCCGGACAAAAAAAAAAATATTCATATTATGAATGTCATCTCCTGGCCCAGTGGAACTCGTATTCAACTCACACATCGCCGACGTTACACGTGGCGCTGCGCAAACGTGCACGCGAACAAGGCAGGCAGCGCAGCGCCCACGCGTCCTGGTCTTGGATCACCTTCCCCACGTCCATGGCTTTAGCAGATCCGCGGAACCTCAAGCAGCCCATGAAGAACTCCTTCAAGCCAGCGCGAGGAACATGGAGATCCGGAACATGGCAAAGCGTTCTTTGTATAGAGACAAGTCTTGTTCTAGGTACAAGTGCATACAGCAAACAAGCCCTTGAGGCCCCTGCAAGAAGCTGCTCAACAAAGCCAATAATGACGGTGTGCCGCCCACAAGTAAACTTTGCACACCCGGTTTGCATCAACTTTTGACCTTTGCACATTGATGATTCGTAGACGTTTGTCCTTGGGGGTAAAGCGGTTCCAACAAACCTCTCGACTTGGGGACCTCCAATTAGCTCCTCAAGGGTCCGGCAGGACTGATCTCAGTAGAACAGATGAAGATGTTGACCCTATGAGGCTCTTCCGGCCCCAGCTACCATGAGACTTGGAACACTTGAAGCCTTGATCGACGTTTGATATTTCTTTATATTTCTTTCAGATCCTTTTCCGGGAGAAGAAGTCCAGAAGTGGAGGAAGCATGCCGCTTCACTCATCAAACTTCTTCATCCCAACAAAAACAAAGAATCTGATCCCTCAAAGACGAATGGCCACGCCCCGATGTGTGGCCACGCGCACCAAGCACGGTAACTCTCGCGGAGCGCGAAGACGATCATCGGAGCCGCTCCTCCACATCTACGGAGCCGCCCCCGTCGGAATCCAATAATTTGAAGAAGGACCACGCCTCACGACACCAATGATGTCTGAACTTGGGAAACATGCCAATGCGTGCATAGTTTAAAGGGCAGGACTACCGTATACATCCACACACCTATTGGCAGGATTACCCTGCACTGCGGGATCTCCAACCAGGACCCGACCAAGGGTCCTGGCATTGGTTGTTCACGACCGGGGTCTCCCCTTCCCATAAATCAACCAACCAAATAGCCGGTTGCGCCGGTGAAGTGCAGCCCGGTCTGCTGCGTTTCGCACTTCGTACCCCCCGTCCGGGTTTGTGGGACGACCGGGACCTCGCTCCCGGTGGGTCGTGAGACGACGGGCGTCATCGAATCGGTCAGACCGGTCACCCCGCTTTTTCCCCGATCGGACCCGAAGGATCAAGCGTCGTCCCAAACATCGAGCCCCAAGGCTTCGAAATAGGCCCGCACTTCGGGAGAATTGATGTTCTCCTGGCACACGGCACTCCCGTGTGTGTTCGAAGGCCCCGAAAGAAAAAAAACAGGCGCATGAGGGTGGCTGTGCCATCATGTTGAGAATGATATATGATATGATATGCGGGACTTATGGGGGTATTATAATGCATTATAGTTATGATAGGTGATGAGAAGTTGAGGGGTCAGCAAACAAACTGACTCATGAATCGCATCACATCACATGTATACATCTGAGGTTTGGATATTTATGTAGTGTTGCCACGCATGATGCCTGATCTATCCATCCTATCTACGGTCTGAGAATCATCCCGGACCAAAACCGACAGACAGTGTCTGCTTGTATTGGCTGTGCACAGCCGCTTACTTGGCGAACATCAAGAAAAAGGATGTCCCATTTTGATGAGGAACATGACACCATTAAACAACAACAACTACTACTACAACAACACGCCGTACCTGTCCCTTTCCGGATGGTCCTCGAAGATCTTCAGAGTGATGACTTCGCTATCATCACTTCCCAATTGTTCAAAGAGCAGCTGGATCTTCCTTCAGCGGGCTGAAAAGTAGAGATCGCTCGCTCGCTCGCTCGCTCTCCCCGGAGATCGGCAGCAGGACGGGCTATACATGCAATAGATTGAAGGACGGGGGCACATATTTCGCGACGAAGAGTAAAGAACACATAGGCGTTGGACAAGAATATGCTAAATATAGTATATACAATACATAATCTTATGTATATATATATCATATTACAGGTAAAAAGCACCAGTAAAATAATATATACTTATAAGTATAATATATGTTATGTACATATTCTAACTGTATAATAGCTTCTGGAACTCAAGAGTTAGTTGCTCTAGTGCTTGGGCTCGCAACCGTGGACAACGGTCGCTTTGGGTTGGAAGATTGTATCCCATGGCAGGTCGCCAAACAAATCCTCTCCCGTTCCCAAATCCCAGAAGGGCCAAGAAAGCTGTGAACCTAGGGATGTTTGCAAAGATAGGAGGATGGAGTGAAGTAGAGCAGTAGAGCCCAGAATCCGCTTTTGGATATATATATATATTGTTTTCAGAAAAGAAAAGAGCTTTGCAGCCTTCGACATCTTTCAGCTGGGGTCTTTTACAGGTGACAGAACCTACCAGGGCTCGAACGCGGTCCTCGATTGTCTCACTCATCCAGTCAGTCAGGTCTTTGACGTCCGCTGTTTCCACAGCGGCCATCCATATTGCTGGACATCAAGGCTCTGCAAATGCTGCTCCTTGTTCATCAGCATGGCTTGCATCATCGTAATCTGGTCATTTTGAGCGCTTTCAATCGCACTTTGGCAGAACCTCAGCGGGTTGGTGCAACCAATGGGACAGAAATCCAGATCCTTTTGCTCAACTAAACCTAAGAGGTCTCAAATGACCTCAATTGGTGCCCTATTCCAGGGTCCTGGCACAATTTAGATGGGGGAGTCCATGGTAAAATCCGAGCTGCATCCCTCCTCGACCAGTGGATTTGGATCCCCTGAAGAAAGCAAAACCCAATTGGGAAACACTGAGGGGTCGACCAAGCTCATGTCAGAGTCTGAGGGTTTGAGGGATGGAAGCTAGTCAGGATGCCGTGCTTGAGCCGGCCATCGTTCAATCCAATCCAAGACAGGATCCGTGCTTTCCCAACACACACCACCGCTGCTGCAAATGTGTGGTGCACCAGTGCAAATGCAAGCCAGGAAGCACAGCTGTGACCACATTTAAGACGCAAAAATAGGTGAAGGACATGTATCCAAGAAAACAAAGCACCTGAGGGCTGTGGAGTGGAATCTCTCCAGTTCAGTTAGGGACATCCTAAAGCCTCACAGAGCCAAAACCCGATCATTTCCTATCAAAACATGGCATCATTGGGGCGCTCAATGAAAACAGGGTGCCCCTCAATATAGGAAAAAACACCCGGAGAAGCACCAAAGACCACTGGGAAATGAACGAACAACTACCCATTGGTTGGCAGGTCTCCCCCCAATGAGATCAAATGAGTGGATGACCATGGGACCATGGGGCATGTTACAAAGTGTCACAGCCCCAAAATGTCCAAAGAGCACCCATTGACGTGAAGGGCATCAACATCGCCAACTGGAACAGCTAGATATTGATAAGTTTGTCGCCTTACAAAACAAGGAAGCTCCTCCAAAAAAACACGTTTGGTTCAAGGAGATTGGCTTCAGACACCTTCGTTCTTCCGCCCCCGGAGTGCTTTGAAAGCCGGGATCGTTTTCAGTTTCGCACGGTCACCCACCACGGGTGTAGCGACAGGACGGCCGGGCCGAGACGACCGGACCGAATTCCACGTACGATCGGTTCGTTGAAAAGGGGTCGTACGGTGGAATTCGATGGGAGGCTTTTTGTGCCATAGATCGGGACTGTCTAAGGAATTGGTCGTTCAGGTATGGGATGGTCTAAGGCGAAGGAATTGGTCTGGACACCCGAACAATATTTGATGTTTCTGTGAGCCAAGTCACCCAAACAGTACCAAGCTTCTTGATTGGCATCAGCACCAATTCCCAGCTGACTCCATTGGAAATGCTCAAACAAAGGGCCAAAACGGAATCCTCGGCTTAGCACATCTTAGCACGGTGAAACCATCCAAAGCTTGCAGTTGATAAAGTACCAGGTGGCTTGTTCTAATACTGATTTGTCCTAGTTTCTGCTTGGGTTTTTGTTCGAAGCTGGACATCCGATCAAGGCACAATCCAAGGGCTCACTTGGCGTCGGTATCTCATAGGGGGATTTGTTTACAAACTCCGCATGTCTCTTGATGGAAGGAGGAAACTCCCAAACCATGAAGCTTTGCTGAACACATGGCGAACATTGGTTAATCCTTCCAACGATGTCAAAATATCATCTGGTCACTGGTCACAAAACAGCACTCATTTCAACAAGTGCTCAAATAAAGCAAAAAACGCGAACAATCACTCCAAAAAACCTGCATGGTCACCCCATCCGACAAATTAGGTCAGCTCATGAGCTCTTCTGATGAGCTCTCAGGAACCCGAAATCAAGTCAAACTTGGAATGAGTTGCACCTGTTTTTCGTGTGGCCGTTGGTGTGGAAAAGCAACTTGAAAGATCCAAAGAATTCCACAGATCCCTACAAAAAGGTAGAACATCCAAATAATTGGGACAAACTTGGACAATTTGTTTTATTGCACCCTTGCATTCCAAACATGGAGGCCATTGATTGGCCAACGCGGTGATATGAACACCCAGCTGATTGGCCAACACCGCCTTGCCAAAAAAAATTATCCCCAGCAAGTTGTCGAATTGCAATAGGTCTGTCTCGCAACAATGATCCGCATGCAAAAGGCAAAGTATCGATAACATTCGAAAACTAACTAATTTATATATGATGATCCATCAATGACTAGATTCAACTCATTAAAAAAAAAAAACAATGACAACAATTGCCAGTATGATAACTAACCCTCCTGTTCCAATGTGTTTGTTTTCATCATGCTCCATGTCTGCCTGCCTTTGGTCGTTCCGTTCCTCTTCTGCAAAAGCGTCCGTGAGGGATCCGAAGTATCGCTGGGCGGCGTCCAGCTCAGGGCCAGTCATATGGCCTCCGTTCTCGAAATAATCGCTGATGACCTGGCCAAACACAATACCGTCCTCTTGTGGGAAAGCATCCGTTTCATCATCACACGTGTTCCTCGGATCTCGCTGTGTGGTTCTTCCGTTGTTTTTCTCCCGGTGGCCGATCCAATGCCCGGCGTCCGTCCGTCCGAGTCCGGACGGCGTTGGGATGGCGGTTTCGGCGTTGTCCTGCTGGTTCCGATGTGTGTGATGTGTTCATGCAACTGGGAAACAGCATGCTGAAAACATGAAGACCATTCTCAAAACCAATGCAGGGTTTGTTGTTGCTTATTTGCATGATGCACTGAAGGATTCTGCTAAGGTTCTTTTAGTAATTGTAAAAGCATCTTTGAATACATGGCGCAGCAGCAGGATGTTCTGGTCACAGAATCTTGAAAAGAGACATGGCCACCCAGCCATGCAACTTGGGAGGGGCGGCCCAACCCAACATTAAACCAACGAAAAAAGGCGGTCTGATGCCAAAATGCTTGAGTGAAAAGCACAGCGAAGACATACCTTAGCTGTTGGGACACGCGGTCAGTGAGAACCCTGTCTCAGACTGTCAGACTGGTCAGATCCCAGAAAAGGTGCAAAAGGCTATGTCACCCTACAACACATCTGTGTTTCTTCCTGATTGACATGTGCATTTCAAATTTTGTATGTCCTACCACAAGTATAGGCAAAATAGTCTTGAGCCTTTAGTTGTGATCCATGCAATCCGAACCAAACGAAACAGCTTCCCTTTGGGCCGCTTGTAATGCTTTTAAACACATGCCAAAGGTTTTGTCCCACAAACTGGGCATGGCAGTGCTAACACCAAGTAGCGGCTCTGAAACGTTCGTACTACTGTAGATGGACGAAATAACCTGGAATAGTTGGTCCATCTACTGTAGGTCACAGGGAGAGCATCGTACTGCGCAAGGTCAGAGGGATCCCAAACGGGTTGCGCAAGTTCATTTTGACCCGTTGATCCCCCAACGCTTCCAGCTCCGTTTTTGTCAAGGCCATTGCTCATAAAGGGTTCCATCTACGCCCAGCCGCCACACAGGCCCGTGCAAAGCGTAACAGTGAGGCCCAAATGACAGCAAAGGTAGTCGACTGTATTTTTGCTATTGTGACCTGCGGTCGACTTCCTCAGGGATCCATCAGCGCTGGAGCCGGGCTGGAGCGATCATCCAGAAGGTCGTTCCTTCTGAGATGCAGGCATTGAAATCATTGGATTCTCAAAGGCTCAGAAAGGATCCTTTCGTTGTTTGGGTTTTGATTTAGAACAACCATAGGGTTTTGGACCGAAGCAGCAGTTGGAGACCAGGTCACCGGATGCGAGGAAGCTGAGCGCCTCAAAAGCTCCCTCCTTCCGGCCATCGGATCTGGGCCGAGTGACACGATCAGGAGAAGAAGGAAGAGCGCCCAAACCTGAGTGTTTCGTCATGTGTCTTCCTTGCACTGACTTCATCCGAAGGAGACTCACCAGGGATCAACCTTCCCATTCCCCCAACTTCAGCTTGAGTGAAGAGTTGTGGGGATCTAGTGAAGAGGTATTATAGTATGGTACTGTTGTATGTGTATTATGCTATATTCAAATACAAATAAAGGTCCCTTGAGCAAACCATCTATGATTATTTTCGACAATTATCATATCTGATCACAGGTCCCATAAAAGTGAGACGTCCAATTTGAGGGGCTTGAGGGGCATTTGCTGTTCATTGAGGTAGCTCAAAACAGAACTGCAGGCCACAAAGACCTTTGCTGCGGCGGCGTCAACATACCAAAAAAGGCGCCAACCACCAAAACGTCCACACATCAATCACTGATTCACCTCGCTGTATCACAGAATATTCACAGAATCGCATGCGTCGTCGCATGCTCTTCGCAGTGCTCTTTGCCTCCACCATGACCCTCTACGACTGGTTTCGATCGTGCACCAAGAGGTTTAGTTCGGGGCTCTCTCAGTTCCATAGACCCACGTCTCGGCGACATCTCTTCAGTCTGCATGTTCCCACAGTTGGAGAGTCAACTCTTGGTTTCAGCATTTGCGACGAATCCAAGGAAGCCAGGCCAAAGCGACGAATCCCGTGTTGTATTTTTGGTGAATCCATGGAATCCATGGGCACCCGCTGTAGATTCTGAGGTTCTGCCAGGCATTGCTTTAGGTCACTGAAACAAACCTCCACGCTCCCAGTTCCAGCCCGGGGCACCAGCGCTTTCATCGTGTGAAGGATGGAGGTCACTAAGATCCTACCGGGTGTCGCACGGGAATGGCAAGGCGCCCGGTCGTGCGAGCGCCTGAAACAAAGGTCTGAACGCCTGAAAGTGGGCCACCGCCTGAGTGTTCCGTGGATTTCGAGCCATAGTGTTTCTACACGCCTCTGTTCATGTCCCTCAGCAACAGCCTCCTACACTACATGCACAAATTTCAGACAATATTCAAGCACAATCCAGGTTGGTGATTTATTTATAGACCCAGCCTCGTACCATGTCTTTATCGCTCATCCTGGAATATGTCATTCCAAGAAATTCGATGGTCCAAGAGTCCTCACCAAAAAGCGTTTGGACGCGGGCCCGGCCCCCCCAAACCCGCCACAACAGCGAGCCCCGACCAACTCCTCAAGGCGATGACGAAGCGAAAGATACGCACGAACTGGACAGTGCGCAGCAGCCGCGTGAGGCGAATAATGCGAAAGGATTTTAAGCCTCGGACGACACGGCGCCGCGACACCGGCACGATACGGGAGCTGCGTGATAGGCTCAACATAGGAGCTTCCAAAAGAATGGCTGCCGGTAGTTTTTTGCAAATACCCTGGGAAAAAACACGTTCCTAAATCTGGGAACAAGTAACAGTGCTTGGTTGCTTGCAATTTGAGGACAGAATTACAGATATTACAGTAGGTGTGGGGGTGGTGTTTGCAGCGCTTTGACTTCGCTATTTGAATGGAGCAAACAATTACAGTAAGACCTTCAGTCCTTTTGTGTAGATGAGTACATCCGGGGCCAGCAGCGAGGAGTTGGGGAGGCGCTGAAGGTTGATGGGCATCATGACCTGTGCTGCCCCTCATTTGGCCCCCAAAGCCTGATATAACTGCCACCTGGAAGAGTAAATCTGGTTTTCATTACAAACACCTGGAAGAGTCAACTCATCAAAAGCCTACCAAAGGTTGGGGGGAGGCTGAGGCTCTATAATTGTGTGGAAGGGAAAATGCAACATTAATGACATACAAAGGTCATCAAAGGTCACAGTCATTCACAGTCTATCAGTCTATCTATATGTTATATAATATATGTTACATCTTTCCTGGACGAGGTCCGTAAATGTCTCAACCAAACAAAAGCAAATAAGTTCCGCCTTCAATCTTTCTGAAGGAGGCTGTCAATGGTTCACCACGCTGCGATTCTTCAAGCGAAAACGCTTGAAATTCTCAACCCCCCAGTTTCGCTGACCTGCCAAGCTTCTGGAGACCCCGGCAATGCTTTCCACTGAAGTCGTCCCAACAATGGAAATAATGTCCACAGCCACATCCCAGAGGGAACTAAGGACCACCAACACCTGGTCGAAGCCACCCACGAGCGGAGCAGAATCTGTTGATAAATTTCACAGGGAAAAGTGGGCTGAGAAACCCACTAAAAAAGGGTTGTATCGTGTTTGTGACATTTGGTGACAACCTTTTCCTGAAACCAATACCTCAGAAAACTGGATGTGGTTGTTTTCAGACTCCTTCTCCATGCCATGGAAAAACATGGCGTACGTGCCGTTTGCATGGACAGAAACCTGTGACATCAATCAATCAGCCATGATTTGGTGTGTCTTTCTAAACTCCAAATCTGACCCGCCACTTTTGTCCTATCCTCATGATCAAGCAGGAAAGGAAAAAGGGCGCGGGAAAGCCCAACACTTGATCTGTTTTGGGTTTCCAAACATCCACAAAATTCCACAAATCTGTGACTAATACAAAACAAGACAGCTGTGACTATTACAAATTATCATCAAGATCTTTGTCTTGGTCCTTCTTCCGAGTACAAGCCAGGGCGTCTGAGGCGTCTTCCACCCATGGAAAAACCCACCCAACCCGCATGCTGTCGAGCGAAAGAACGAGGCACATCCAGGAGATTCCAGGCCCAATCCTCCGTGCGCAGAAAGTGTCCGCCTCCGGTCAAGAAGTCGAGGACGACGAGGACTCTGTCGGGTCACGGGTCTGGGGTGGAACCAAAGCAAACCACGAGGATGAAGAAGAAACACATCAGATGTGGGAGGATTTGAATAGGATTCATCATGATCCGGATCAAATGTGCAGGTCGAATATGTCGAATGTACAGCTCGAATCCGGAGATCGAATGGAATCAGCAGCAGAATGTGCAGAGCGAATACCGTGTTGGAATCGAGAGATCCCGAGCGTCAACCTCTATGTTTCGTTTTGATTTCAAGATATTTCAAGTATATCGTCAGTCGTCGCCCTTGATGCTGCAATGTGACCACTTCGGTCTTGAGGATGTCCTTTCAACATCACTGGGGGAGACGAGTTTCACCCTCGATCATGTGGAAATGTTCTGCGGCAGATCCGTTGGTTTTCGCCTGCAGCACAAAGTCTCAACAGCAGCTCAGAGGTGAAGAGCACCGCATAGATATACCTTATAAAGCATCCCATCAGTTGGGTGGCGCGTTTTAATTGCCCAAGAGGTGGCCGATGGCTATGGCGGTATTTCACCTGGACATGTGCTGTCTTTAAATAGAAACACATACACTCCAGGAGAGTATACAACAGACTCCAGCAGATCGCCTTTTCTGAAGTCTTCCAGTGCACTCGAGAAGCGTTGAAGTGTGAACAAGAGTGAACTAAGAGAGGGCGCTGACGCGCTGAGAACTTGGCTTCTATCATCGTCTAACTACTGACAAGTCTTTCCAGATGCGCACTCACTTGCGCAACCAAAGTCCCTTCCAACTAGTCACGCATAGTCACCTTTCTGGTCCCCAAGTGATAGACCTTTTGTATATAAGTGAATTCTGCAGATCCAACGACCAAAAAGCTCAGATAGTGGGCTCCATCGACAAAACTTGTTGGACTTGAACTCTGGCAGAAATTGAGATCAAAGAGGAAAAGCAAGCACCTGTGGTTTGCCTGGGTGTCCGGTCTGTACTTTTCAGATCATTCTCAGCTCTACCAGCCATATCAACATAAACCATCCAAACAACACCTGCAACAAGAGTGCGACACACTCACAGTCCACCATAACGACCTGCAATTACACGTCTTGTCGTCTGCTACGACTCATATACTTGCTTTTTCAGCAGCTATGGGTCGTGCCAGAAGCCTACATGCACTTAATTATAGCATAGAGTCATCAATACACACACCCCACGTGAAACCATGTGAAGAGGTTTTACAATCCAAGTTTGGGCCACTCTACCCACACCCGCTACAACAGCAAGGGGTGGTGTAGAAGCGAGAAGACATCGCAAGTGCGTGCATCCAAGTTTGGGCGGGTTTACTCATCAAGATTATCTACATGTCTGCGCAAAAGACTCACCCTGCGAGCACATTCCGCAGGTACTTCGCCCAGTCGCTGCATGACCCGCAGCGCCATCGGCCGCGAGGTCTCCCGCGCACTGAGGTCCACGTCAATGCCGATGAAGATGGCGTTGGTCAACACCACGACTCCGAAGAAGGACTCGAAGAGGCGATGCTTCACCAACTTCGAAAGGCAGCTCGACTCCTCCTGGATGAGAGATGAGACATGCATGACCCGCAGACGTAGGCGGCCGCATGCAATGCGGGTCAAAAGGCTCTCTCAAATTGAGACATGTGCACATTCCAAAAGTTCTTTTTTTACGGGAATGTGCTGGCTCTTTTCTTCTTTGTGACTTTCTTTGTATATATAGTTTGTTCAGGTCTGAAATGCATTGGTATGAGGTGTGCTGGACTGGTCCGAAGTGTTCATGTTAGTTGCTTTACTAGCCAAAGAATGAGTCTCTGATCAAAAAGAATGCACTACAGCATGTTGGGGCTTCGGAACGAGTTCAATCTCATTACCAAGTCCGGCCCACTCATCTGCATGTCGTAACTGGATAGTATTTTCCGGTGACAGGGAAGACAAACTATGCCTTCATCAATATTCCTGCATGATGTCTTTGTATTATATATATATATTATATATGTTACTGATTGGATAAGCTTGAAGTTCTATGACGTTCGATTCTGTACACATCACTTCTATCCAAGAAACTGCTGTACCCACAAGTCGACACAAGAAGGACCCAACAAGTTCCATGGAAGTCGATGTGTTTCTCCACATGGTCAAGGAGGTGGAAACTCCATGGTTTCCACCACGGATCTCCTTCCAAACGAGGACTTCAAACCGCTGGATCTACCTCTTCCGCCGAGTGGCGCCCTTCTTGGCGCTTCGCATGGAGGGATCCCGGCGAAACTTTTGGATGTCTTCGGTCTGAGGCGACTGAGGCACCTTCTTCGCCGCCTCATCGCCGTTCGAGGCGGCAGGACGCGCGTTGCGAGAGCGAAGTTCGCGGAGGCGGCAGGACGCGCCGCGCCGGCACTGGTTGTCTCGTCTTGCAAGTGCTAAGAGGGACACCTTTTTTCATGGTGACGAGGCCAAAACGCAGGCAACCAAACGAAGCACAACACTTTAGAATACAAACAAGGCCGAGCCTTTGGGGTCTACAGTCCCCTACTTCATACTGCTGAACAAATCCTTCCCGGTCCAAAATTGGGTTCTGGTTGATCTGGAATGACACAGTTTCCCCGCGTGAAACCTCGAGATCCCACGAAACCACGAGATCGTGAGATCCGCCTCGGCTTGCGCAGCTTCCGCGGCAGAGGTCACCTGTCCGGAGGCTGTGGAGCTGCCTCTCTGTCACCAGCTGTCACGGGAGGTCCCCCGAAAATGCCAATAATCCAGTCATTCAGAAATTGTATAGGGATACTGACGGGAAGGAACTGATATATGAACCGATAGTTGGGAATCATATTCAATGTCTAAAATCACGATCATCGAGGTCTCTCTTGAGCCAGATTGCCCGGTACCATCAACATGTCGTGGATTCTCAGCGTACTCTTGCACACCAAGTACTAAAGCCAGCCAGTACCACTGCAGTTGCCTCATTTGAAGCAAAGTTGCTCACCATTGAAGAACAGCTATCGTTTCCTTGAATTCATTAGGAGGCCTAGCCATATCACACAGGACAGAAACACTGCCCATCTGCTCTTCCGCCCTACCAACGATTGCTCAAGGCACGGAGGCTCTTCGAGGCTTGTAATTCTCCAGGCTCATTTCTGAGGCCAAGCCATTGGGTACATCCTTTGGAAGGGCCCAGCCTCAGGAGAAGGACGTGCGCAACCGACGCAACCTCTCTTTTCCCCAGGCCATGCTACCCAGATGCTACCCATGCTGCCCATCTCTACTGCTTTTTTGGTCTGGCCTGGTGAAAAAAGAACAAAGCAACATGTGATGGGATCTTTGCAAGACGAACATGGCCTCACATATGGCCTCACGCGATCGAACAACGCCTCAAACCTCCCTCAGTCAAACCTTCGCTTTCTGCGCAGACTCCGCGTCCGCTGACTCCGCTGATCCTGGGCACCCCCGGCTACGTCGCATCTCTGAGAGGAGAACGTCTTGGACGTCTAACCTGGCCGTTCGGTCGCGAAACCGCCGGCTCTTCGGTCGCGATCCGTTCAAGAGTGGGTCGGAATGATCGCTGATGATCGCTGAATGTGTGTGTGTGTGTGCTGGTACCTTCCTTTTTGGGGGGATCCTCAGTCTGTGATGTGCAGGTGGGGGAGGGGTTGATGCTCCAAGGTGGTCAAATGGAGTGAATCATCAGGAGTGTATACCAAACTTGGATGCTTTGAGGGGCCCGCGTAGTCTGGTTTATAGCAGCTTTAAAAACAGTCGTCTGCCCCAATCCATTGAGGTAGAGATTAAGTCTTATATAACCACTGCATGATGACGTTTCTTCTACTGTAAGCCCAGGCTCCGGTCCCTGTTCAAACGGCTGGGCTTGGCTATAGGTATATTCCAAGTTGGAACCAAGGTAGATTCAGTAGATGAAAGCATTGTGGTCCCCTCACGTTGAGCCAGAAACATTCTGGAAACGTCACCAAAGAAATCCGAAACTGCAACGATGACTTTGAGAACATTCAGGTACATCCAAACTAGCAGCTATAGCAATTGCCAAACTGCGTCAACGCCACCAAGCCATGCTACTCATCCATGGTGGCCAGTGGCCAGTTCGGATGACTTCTCGTTTGGTAAGATGTAAGATTATACAACATGACTTCCTGCGAGTGGGCATTTCAAAAGCTGACTTCCAAAGGGTCTGGCAGTGTCTTTTCATGGGACCCCACACAAACAGATCAGTTCCTCGAAAAAAGAACAAAAAAGAAAAAAACATCTAGGTCTAGGTCTCATCTAGGTTATTCTCAAAAGGTGATTCCTCTAATACCCAGACACTCCATGTATGCTATACATTGACCCCTCGAACCACCCCAATGTAGGTAAATATGACAGTCCCATGGAGTGTTTGGGATATATGGTTGTACCAATGTCGCATCCAGTTCCTAGAACCCAGTTTTCCGATGAGTTTTCAATTACGGCACCTCTCCTTCCATCGGCTCCCCCTGCCGATCCCAACTCGATGGATTCTCCAACATTCCGGGCGTCACCTCCTCAGAAGTTCTTGATGTTGCTTCTCCAGCAGGGCTCGAAGCTCGCCGCCCTCTGAGAAATTCGCCATGGGAATATCCACAACGCAACACGTTGGTCAGGCGAAAGCACTCACGGCTGAGCTGGCTGAATGTTGAAAGTACGCAACAGCTCTTTGAGCATACCTAATTAATGATGACTACAGTAACTCTGCAGAGACTCTGATGATTTGCCCAGATTCGATTCGATTTGCGTGGAAAAGACTCCCAAATACTCCAAACAACTCTGGGCAAATCGAATCTGCAAAGGTCTGGAGCTCCGAGACTTGTCAACAGTTCTGCTCAGGTGGCATGGAGTGAATCTCTTGTGGTCCTGGCAACCAAGAGGTAATAAGCTTATATATAAGAGTCTGCCTCAAAGGAAAGACACAATACTTCTGTAACATATTCTATAACTACATGTCTATGTATGGGATTACTACATAACAATTATATCTATATAGTCCTATAAACAAGTTTTCCAATCTGCAGCACTGCAGTCGCAACACAGGGCCCACAGGGTGGCCGTCTCGCGTGATCTGAAGGGGGGCTCTCCAAAGTTGATATCTGTGGAATGCCGGCGGGCTTGAGCCCCAGCTTCGGGGTCTGCACATCGTGAAGAAATGACCTTGGACTAGAATGACTCTAGAATCTGTTGTTGCCTTTCATTGAATTTTTCCCCATGGTTTGAATATGTTGGCAACATCACGAACCGATTCCAGCAAACAGGCAAACACTAGAATTATAGTATATTGTATATACCTATATAGTAATTGTAATAAATATAACATGTTTGTTTATATATGTCTGTATTAGCTGTTCATTGTTCTGGTGGTTTGGGCAAGACTATCGAAACTGCGCCAGGGCCCACTCACTGTAACAGTTACACCCATTGTCAAACGCTTGGAAGGCACAGGAAAAAAACACTGTTGCCCCGTTTGAAACGGGCTTGGAATCCTAGTCCTATATTCCATTTACTTTGGCAACTCATTTTGGGGGTTCGTCTAAAACAGGCCTTCAGAGTGCGAAACCAAATCAACAAATGGTCGCGACTACAGCACAATGGAAACAGGCAAATCCCTCACTGGGCATCACCCGCTTAAACATGAGTCCAAATTCCTCTCCTCCCGCCAAACAGCAAACCGATTCGAAAACACCCAACAAAACTTAGCAGTTGTCAGATGTGCCCTACCTGCCTCCCACCAAGTCTTCCTCTCCGTGAATACAAAAGACTTGCACACACAAAGCTTGCACGATCTTGCAAGGTACCTCACCATCTTCTAGCTCCCGACCGGTGGCGCCAACAACAGATCCAACAACAGAACACGGAACGGGGCGGGGCGACACGTGGCGCTCCACGAAGATCATCTCCGCACAGGTCTCCAGGTCCGCGGGATCTTGGAGATCAAAGAGGTCGACCCTCGGTGTAGACTCGGTGGAGACTCGTGCCGGAGCGGTTCGAGCGCTTGGGGGAAGATGAGGGAGCTGCACCCGGGAACGGTGGGATGGATGGGTGGAGAGTGAAGAGGAGTGAAGTGGAAGGCACAGGGGAGTGGGGAGATTCAGTTGAAGGGGCTGGACGATCTGAGGTTGGTGGGGATGAGTAATTACTGTAAGTGGGACCACGATGATGATGATGAGGAGAAATGAAAAGGACGACGATGATGCCGAAGAAAATGCAGGTGGTGAAACACTCATGCTGAGTTATGCGCTTGACTGACTCTTCGTGAGCATGGGACAAATCCAACAAAGGCAGTGCGTGAAAGCTGGTGAGGCGTTCGCAGGGAGCTGGGTGGGGAGGGTTGAGCCCTCTAAAGGAACGAATCGTCAGCATATGATAGGGAATGGATGTCCATGACAGCTCACAGTTGGGCCAAAAAGGTGATCTTTGTACTGAACAACACAGCCAGAATCCCAACTAGGCCGTCCCATCTTTTATATATATAATATTATACAGTTATTGTCAAAGCCAGGGAACCATGCACATGGTCCTGCTTTTCTTCTCATCCCGACCAAACCGGATTAAACCGCATATCGAACGTA